TAACATTTGCTGCCCAGACTTGCAGATGCTCAAAAGAACTAGAGCAGTGGTTCTCAAACTAGGGGCGCTGCTTGTTCAGGGAAAGCCTCTGGCAAGCTGGGCCGGTTTGTTTACCTGCCATGTCCGCAGGTTCGGCTGATCGCAGCTTCCAATGGCCACAGTTTGCCGTTCTCAGCTAATGGGAGCTGCGAGAGGCAGTGCGGGCCAAGGGACATGCTGGCCACTGCTTCCCACAGCCCCCATTGGCCTGGAGCGGTGAACAGCAGCCACTGGGAGCTGCGATCAGCCAAACCTGCGGACACAGCAGGTAAACAAACCGGCCCGGCCCGCCAGGGGCTTTCCCTGAACAAGCTGCACCCCTAGTTTGGGAACCACTGAACTAAGGGATCCCCCTTCTTGCAATGCTAATCATGCAGGAAGAGTTGCACTTTCAGAGGGCCTGGTAAGATGCACCACCAAATTCTGTAGGTGCAGTTCTTGGAGCATGGAATCCCCTTTATCTATACATGCAAACTGAGTTATTATTAATCTACCTGGCCATTTTATAAGCCACCTATCTGATTTGCATGCAGATATATGGATGAGTCCATAGATTGTGGCTTCTTTTTAAAAAGTTTATTAAAATCCAGGGGACGTTCTTCTCCACATTGAAACAGTTAAGTCAAACTTTGATCCCAAACTTCTTGGTGGTATCTCGTTAACTGGCTGCATATAATGAATGTGTCCAACAACAACAAGCAGGACACAGTAAGTTGAAAAATCCTGTGAAATAGACATCTAAAATAGTTGCCAGGTCCTTTAGTTTTCCACCCTAGAATTAGAGAGAAGGAGGTCTGCCAATCACATCGACAGTGATAAATACCAGTCACAAAGGAGACTCTGCACAGCTCTGCACGAAAGCCTTCATAATCTATAATGACCTTTTCATTCAAGTAAAACATTCTGTACAACAGTCACACAGCTGATTCTGACTACCTGGCTTCATGCAGATAGGGAGAGACAGACTCTGTTCTTTCTCTAATGAGGTTCTATCTTGCCAAAGGCTTTGCTGCTGGAATGTCTTCCATAAATTTCAGCAAAAGTAGCACCACTAAGGTCCCCATCAGCAAGGTAAGTGCTTAACTTCAAACATGTAAGTAGTCCCATTGAATGAAGTCAATGAGACTACTCAGATGCTTAAACTTAAATACATGCTTAAGGAAGGGCCTGCTGAATGAGATCAAAATTCTGTTTTCAGGAAGTTCCGTTCCAATATGCCTGCCTGATATCCTTCCATCCATCCATCCCACTGTCATCCACATGGTATCAGAGTGCCTCTCTAGAATCTGCTCCCCCTACATGTCTGGACTTTCCACTGGATTATCTGTGAGTGGCAATGGGGGACTGGAAGTCAGGATTTGTGGGTTTTAATCTCACTGGTTTACTATGTGGCCTTGAGCAATTTTTAAGAACAAAATTTGGAAACTCTTTTCTTCTATAAAAATGTTCTATATGTTACTTCTAGGTGAAATAGCTAACCTTGAAATCAGGAAAGCATGGAAATATCAGCTACCTACTGGTAGCTTTCAGAGGAACAGCCGTGTAAGTGAGCTGTAGCTCACGAAAGCTCATGCTCAAATAAATTGGTTAGTCTCTAAGGTGCCACAAGTCCTCCTTTTCTTTCTACTGGTAGCTGACAAGCGAACCTCTCAAAAACAAAAATCCCATGGCTGGAGATTTGTGGGGTTAAAACAAAAGTACATGCCTGAAGGGATGTGCTGTGTATAAAACTTTCCAGCATAGTGTAAAATGAGGGCCTGTGTTATATGGTTCATGAACAAATCCAATAAGAACAAAGGAAAAATAATTCATTTTTAAGTTATAAATGAGAGTGAGATTTGACCCCAGTGTTTGACATATCAAACCAAATGCAAAACACTGAACCAATAAGTATTTAGGACAGGTTTCAAATGTCCATACAAAGACAGAGAGTTGCATTATGCTATCTTTTAACATCTGAATGACAAGCAGGATTAAATAATTACTGAGTGAGAGAGAGAGCCATCTCCCATCAGAGAGCCTTTCACTGTTCTACCTGGATGAGACAAAATTAGCTACAACACAAAATAGTTTCCAGGAGATAATGTACTTTGGGGGAGCATTTCTGAAAGAGGATCCTTTCCAGTCACGTTTAAAGGGACACTTTTCACTTATTTGGACTACAAATTTTATTTAAAAACATTTTAAATGGCAACATAGGGAGTGAAGGTTCTCACAACATCTAACTCTGATAGGAATTAAAATGGTGGGGGGAGGGGAGTATTTTTTGTTTTCAATTCAAAGGAAACAGTCTGTCTTAGCATAAACATTTCTCTGCAGTGGGGGAAAGCCAATCAATGTATTTTATAATTATATGGTAAAAATGAGAAAGTAAGCAATTTTTCAGTAATAGTGTGCTGTGACACTTTTGTATTTTTATGTCTGATTATGTAAGCAAGTAGTTTTTAAGTGAGGTGAAATAAATCAGACTCCTGAAAGGGGAACAGTAGTCTGGAAAGGTTGAGAGCCACTGGTCTAAATGGACCATTAGCCTGATCAAATGTGGCCATTCCTAGTGAAATGCAAAAAGCCAACAACCAGCCTAGGGGGTGAAAAGTTTCTTAGGAAGTTTTAATACTTTTTCTTTTATTAATCAATAATGAGGAGGAGATTTCTGAAATATTCAAAGGAAGGGGAGAGAAAATGGAAGTAACACGATAGCACTCTAGGTATCAGCACTAGAATTCCCCTCACAGAAAAAGAACAGCAGCATAAGCACTGTGCTCTGTTACTGGCAAAGCAAAGCCAAAACAAATTTCATTAAGCAAAACACATTACCTCTCAGAATCAATTGCCAGGTTATAAATGTGACCTGTTCAATATTCATTAAAACACTGATTTCCAAAAAAATTTATAGAGTTGCATGGAGGGGGGGGGGGGGAGAAGGAGTTTGTGCTTTTCCTGAAGTGATGAAGAGTCTGAGTCAAACCCCAAGTCAGTGACAGTCTTTCCATTGACCTGAACGGGCTTTGATCAGGCCCAAACTGACTAACTCCGGGGTGTAAGGCACATGTCTTGCAAGGAACTCTCCCGTCTGACATGAGTGTGAGTAGTGCACAAACCAAGGGCAGCATGCTGTATGGCCATTAGAACCCAAAAACTTCATTTGCTATATTAGAAAGTGAGTGAGAAGCAGAGATATTATCTTGGGTTGGGTGGCAGCCCCCAAAATGAAAACTGCTGTTCACAGAAATTGCCTGAGAGAGCTAGTTACCTCCCCTCTCTCCTCCCACCCAGCCAGGGAGAAAGGGATGTATTTGCTGAGGTGACCAGCCCACCAACCAGGAACTGAGATGAGGGCCTCCCCAGTGGTAAGAGAGCTAGGCAAAGCATTCTTCTAGGGGCCCACCTGAACAGCCTCAAAGAGAAAGCAGCCCTGTCTCATGTCAATCCCAGTGGAAAGAGAGGACAGGCAGAGAGTCTTCGGATACATTCAGCTTCATGCTTTTTCCCCTTCTCCATAATCCAACCATACAGATGTCAAGTGTTACACCAGGGGCATGATTCTCCTGTCATGAACACTGGTTTTCCCTCATGTAGCTCCAATCACCTCCATGAAGTTACTCATCATTTGCACCATTGCAAGTGAGAGGATACTCAGGTCCCCAAAGTGGAATTAGGCTCCCAACCCCCCACATTACATAGCTATCCCGCACTAACCTCAGTCTGATTCTGCAACTCACCACTCATCATCACGACGAAGACTTTTGAAACACTTATGCTCTCTGTTAGGCAACTCATTAGGGAAAGAATCCTTGGAAAATGAGTGCAAATGTATTTGATCTATTTGATTTTAATTGATAACTGATCTGTTCTGTGGACCTTCCCAGGCACCTCTCAAGAAGGTGTCTAAGCACTGTAATGCAGAGAACTTTTTCAGAGAAATGCTGCATTGAAAAATAAACTGAAATGCAAGCGATGGAGAAGATATAGAAAACAGATTTTAAGAAGACTGGAGCATTTAATTCTGGATGCCTCTCTCAATTGCTAGTGGAATTCTGCCTTCCCCTCAGAGTCAGCAGTGCAGATTCAAGGTCTATCAGCAGCAATCCCAAATTCCTACTCTCTGATAGTTGTTTGGTGGCCTTATGTGAAATGAGTTTGGTGGGGTCTCAATCCACACAAAACAGCACTGCCATCAGACTGACTGGCAACCTTGGGGCAGTCCCATCAAAGAGGCAAAGTGCTACATGAGCCACTGAGGTTGAACTCCTATCTCAGGACGACAGGAGGAACTTTAATTCAGGATGGGCTACCTTGGCAGGGAGAGAGAAAGCAGCCCTGTCTCTCCCCTAGGGATACCTCAATAAAAATAGGGAACTTCAGTTTCCAGGGCTGTCATTCCGGCATTTTACACTCGCACTGAATTGGCACAAAGCAATCACAGCGCTAATTTTCCGCTTAGGGACATCAGGTTTACGCCAGTGTCTCTGAACTGACTTTAGTGGTGTTATTCCTGGTTTACCTCAGTGTCAGGAAGAGGATAACCAGGCTCTTAATTTTTAGAATAAAAACCAAAAAATAATTTTTGAATAAAAACCTAGGAGCAGATCCTCAGCTGGTGTAAACTGACACCTGCCCTCCTCTCTCCCCATCCCTACCCTCAACTTAAACAGCTCCCTTAGGTGAGGATCTGACTTGTGGCGTATGATACAGAGCTTAGTAATGTTGTATTACACTACTGTGGGTTTGGCTGTGGTGGCTACACATTTATAAAAATAACAGCGCAACGCTACCTAACCATGCATACTCAAGGAAACCCAAAACCAACTATTGCTGCAGTAACAATAACTTAACAATACAGGCAAACAGAAAAATCCTACATCCTGCAGCTTTGCAAATACACTATGTTATTATTGACCTCCTGCAGCTCTGTAGACAGAAGATCTGCAATGTACAGTATGCCGCACAGTTTCTCCTACCTCACATTAGCATCAAGTTCTTCCATCACAGGCAATAGGCATAGGTAGCCTATGGGAGTTCAGCGCCCATAGAAGAAACCTGGTCCTGGAGTGGAGACAATGAGAAAAGATAATTATAAGTTAAATGGTCTGACCATTGTTTGCTTCTCCCCATTGTGGAAATGCCCTTATATTGGCACCATTGCCCCTGTGCCCCTCTAGCCAGAGTTTGCTTGAAAACAAAATGAATAAATAACACACAAAAATAAAATCAACATGGCTTTAAAACCTTTTTACAAGAGAGGAATTACTTGCATTGCTCACATGGAGGAAATGTAGTTATTTATGATAACACTGAGATAAACAAACTTATGTTTGAGAGTGAGTCAAAAACAGGTTTAGCTAATCCTTTTATAGTTTTGTCTTTATTATCTACTCATATATAATCATAAGTGTGTATAGCACTTTAAAGACAAAGGGCAAAATCCTGGCTCCACTGAAGTCAATGGCAAAACTCCCATTCACTTCAGTGGGGTCAGCTTTCACCCAAAGACACTGGGATCAAATTTTGATCTCATTTACACTGGTGTAAATGTAACATGCACTGAGTCTTTGTCCCACTCTAGTAGCTGGTCCACATAGAAAGTTTATGGGCCTGCTACCACTCTTACCTAATGCATTTAGTTCTTTAACTCAAACAGTAGAGGCTTGTCATTTTAGATGAAGATAGCCCAGGTTCAATCCCTGCTTATGACCCAAGTTGTCATATAAATCAAGAGTAACTCAATTAAAGTCATTTACACAGTAACTGACCTGGAGCGATGTCACTGAAGGCAATTGAGTTACTCTGGATTTACTAGTATATCAGAGATCAGAATTTGGCCATGGGTCCTTTCCTCAAGGTACAATCTAAGGGTCAGATCCTACAAACACTTATTCACTGGACTAATCTTGCACTGTCTGGCCCAAGGTTAGGTAAGACACAGCATGGCAATGAGAGAGATTCTAGACCAGGGGATGGGAATGGGAGAGAGGCTTATGGGCCATCCCCATACTAATGAAATGAATGCTAAGACTCCCATTAGCTTCAATGGGAGCTGGTCCAGATCCTTAAGCACTTACTTGGCTGCTCTCTTTATACTTCATGTTGGTTCCCTTTTTTTTTTTTTAAATGTCTCTGAGTTAAACTGAGGCAGGAGAGAGGGGTTATTTGTATCTGTCTATTTGCTGAGCTCCTTCCCCATAACCTCCTGCCATCCAGTGCCTTTATTTATTCTATTTATTTGCAGATTTAGATCACACCAATAATCATATGTAGCTAGGCAGGAAAGAGGTTATTAAAAACAAACACAAACATTAATGCAGTAGGTGATGCAGTCGCAATCAGTCAATGTCGTGCTGCTGCCCAAAGCAGACCCCTGCCTTGAGGAGAGTAAATAAAACTCAGTGGAGCAATCAAAGGCTGCAATGAAGAAAAAAGGCCTCCCAGCCTGCCCTAGGACTATCAAACTCGCCTGTGGAACATCGTCAGTAGGAGCTGCTCCCTAAGGTGCAAGGACATCCAGCTGAGAACACTCAGTCACTGGTCATGGAATACTGAGTACCTTTCATCATGGCAAGAATACCCCAGTGGATCCACCTGCCATGCCATGATCTTGCCTAAAAGCCTCTCCTATAACTGAGGGGAGCTCGCACTTTGTAAGTTATCACTGTGGCCTATTGTTGCATCGTCTTGTGAGAGGAGACTGCTTCTCTTCTGTCTGTAGTTTCTGACCTGTGACTGCTGATCTTTGATGTTGCCAGCATTGTCTGTTCCATTTTGTTTGCAGATCATTGCTGTGTTTTGTTATAAAGCGTGATGAAAATGAAGGGCAAGGAAATGATTTTCCTTTCTAATTTCTCAGTATTCAGTAAGACAGATGATGCAATGCAGGAAAGATGAGAAATGTCAGGTTCTGGCCATTATTGTGTGAATGTAGCCAGGGCTTTTCCCTTCATCTACACTCCTGAGCAGTGGGCAGCCAGAATCCCACTCCCTGAACACAAGAGAGAGGAGGTGTGGAGTCAGCTGGTGGTTTGCAGGTAAAACGTGCAGAACACAGCAGCTGCAGCTCCTGCATTTGCTACCGACCTCCCACCTATTGACATGCTGCCCACCTCTATTCTCTGCAAACAGATCACCCCACCTACATTGCATGGCTGATACAGCTACAGTTTGGTTGGAAGCATAGACACAACCTGTGTATATTTTCCCACGTGACTCTTTCAGACTCCAGACCTGACCTGGGTGCACTGTCTGTCTCTGCCTTAGTGCTGCATTTTCAATTAAGTCACCTGTTTGCTGAAGATTTCCAATCATCATGAAAATAAAACAAAAATCTCATTCAAGAGAATACAACCCCCCAGCACAAAATACAAATATGGGAATTCACAGCGTGAAAGCTTATAACATGTATGTATCATATAGAACTGAGTAATCAAGATTCAGTCTCCTGGCAGCCCTCTGGGAGATAGAGCATGGCAGGATTTAACCAGATATTACACACACAAGCCCTCTGTACACTTGGGAAGTTCAAGTTCAACATGAACCCTGAAAGCCTTTCAAAATATCCCACAAGCCACTGCTTCAGGGAGCAATGTCTGAAACTACAGAGCTAGGTACCCAGAAGACTGTTTAACTGCATCAGCGGAGTACAATGCCAGTGTAACTATGGGGGAAATTCTGCAGCAGACCTGAATCCAGAACAGCATGCCTTGTGTGCACATGCTGCACACTGTTTACACTGGTGCTGTCCCACCAGTTCAGTTAGCAATGGTTCGATTACCTGGGGTAGATAAGGCCACACATGACAGCTCCAGTGACCAAGTTGTCCCATTTTATTTTCCTCTGCAAGTAAACTTCCACTGGCCTCAAAGGAATATTGCATAGATCCGAATCTCAAAGCTGAATTCTGCATTAGACCTCTGTTGAATAGTCCTTTTATAAAAACTAAGTCACAAAGATGTCTTTACCACTTACAGATGTCCCCTTAACTTAACACATTTCCCAGTCTGGTATATTTTTCACATGCTTTATTTCTATAAATAAAAGCAACATGATAAATCCATAACTATGGCCCCAATCCTGTGAGTGGCTCTACAAGAACAACCCCTTGCACCCATGCAAAATAACTGGAAAGATCAGTGTATCAATCTATAGGCTGGGGTTGAGTTGGCCAGAGGATGACAATTCCGTGTTGTGTCAACTTTTGCGGTTTCAAAATTTATTTTTGTTCCACATCGGAATGAAAGCAAAACCTCCCAAACATTTTCAACTTGTGTCAAAAGCCCCTCAAAAAGATCAGATTTTCAGTTCTCCCTCCCTATCTCTCATATGAGAAGTTACCTGAGAGTTCTTGACCTCAGAAACCCTCTGGATGAAAACTTTGTTAAAACCTATACCTCTCTGTGAAACATTTCAAGCTTTGGAGAAACAGCTTATTTCAATGAAAATATATTTTTGAAAATGTTCCCACCCACATCTAGCTGGGATGTTTAAAGAAGTAACTAATTTTCTTAAGGTTCTTTGAAAATCCCTGTCATAAATGAGAGACAAGGTGAGTGAGGTAATATCTTTTAGTGGCCTGACTTCTGTTGGTGAAGGAGACAAGCTTTTGAGTGACATAGAGCTCTTGTAGTTCAAAGTTTGTCTCTTCACCAACAGAAGTCGGTCCAATAAAAGAAATTACCTCACCTACCTTGTCTCTCTAATAGTCTGTGACCAACATGGCTACAACAACATTGTCATAAATGAGTAATATTTTTATTTTAAAAGAATAATAATACAAAAACAGTCAGTTGAAGAGGGTTGCAAACCTGGCTGGAAAAAGCAAGCAAGAAGGCTGGGTAAATTAGTTTCACTTTTTACATGAAGTTCACACCTTGACTTAATGTTAGCTTGAAATAGTTTTCCTATAGCATTGCAGAGTACAGCCACATGAATACATGGTACTGCTGTAATTATAAAGAAATGAATGATTTTCAACACATGGTAAACAAAATGTAGCATGCCCCAATGACTTTAATTGGTATGAATATCAATGTAATTTCTAATAGTATCAAAACTCCATCTTGAGTTAACAGAAATGAATATGCTTTTATGATAAACAATTTGCGTGTTTGCTACAGGTGACCCAGTGCAAAAAAAATGGGACTAATTTCTAGGATCATGTCTTCAAAATACATTGTAAACTCTTCCAGGCCTCAATTGGAGTTATAGAGTTTAAGGCCAGAAGGGACCATAGATCATCTAGTCTGACCTCCTTTTTATCACAGGTCACCCAGCACCCACACACTAAACCCAACAACTGAAATTAGACCTAGAATTAGGGTCTCTCTCGTTATAAGTTTACAGAAAGCTTAACAGAGTGTCACTGCTATAGTGCTACTACTAACGCAAACAATAATGATATACAGTTTCTTGGGATCAATGGAAAGAGAATGGGAGTTCTTAGACAGACACCCTGGAAATGACGCTGGAAATTTACTGGTTTCAGAGGAACAGCCGTGTTAGTCTGTTTTCGCAAAAGAAAAGGAGGACTTGTGGCACCTTAGAGACTAACCAATTTATTTGAGCATGAGCTTTCGTGAGCTACAGCTCACTTCATCGGATGCAGCATCGGATGTAGCTCACGAAAGCTCGTGCTCAAATAAATTGGTTAGTCTCTAAGGTGCCACAAGTATTTTAAAAGTCATTACTGTCTTATTTTTACTGAAATCTCCAAAGAGAAAAAATCTGAAAGGATTTACCTTTATTCTTTAGAACTTGCCCTCTGTCACAGACAAGGAGGGAGGAATCTGGTCTTTTGCTACACAGACAAAAAGTGGCTTTAGTAGCTAAAGTAGCTACTAAAAATTGCTTTCGTAGCAGGAAGTTTCAGAATTCCTTCACTGTAATCCACACTGGTTACAATTCTAAATCAAAATGTAAGTGTGGGTGCGTGTAAGGGATAAATAGTTACCTACTTGTGATACTCCTGCCCCCCCATGTCGCTTTGCTAGAGCAGCAACTAAGAAATTAATTGGGAATCATTTTGAAACATGCAAAGCTCACAGTTTCAGTACAAT